GAAGTACGGCTGTCACGGTTTTCTTTCAGCGTGGCGTCTACCAGGGTGGACACCACAGCGGCGGTGGGCGTTTTACATTATTATTATTATTATTATTTTGAGATGGAATCTGGCTCTGTCGCCCAGGCTGGAGTGCAGTGGCGCAATCTCGGCTCACTTCACTGCAAGCTCTGCCTCCTGGGTTCACATTATTCTCCTGCCTCAGCCTCCTGAGTAGCTGGGACTACAGGCGCCCACCACCACACCGACTAATTTTTTGTATTTTTAGTAGAGACGGGATTTCATCGTGTTAGCCAGGATGGTCTCGATCTCCTGACCTCGTGATCCACCTCCTTGGCCTCCCAAAGTGCTGAGATTACAGGCATGAGCCACCGCACCTGGCCTCATGTCCAGCTTTTAAGAATTTTATTCCTTCTGCTATTTCTTTCCACTTAACATTTTCTAAAATCCCTGAGTTCCTCATCATTCCTTAATGAAAGACCGGTGGGAATGAGGTCTTCAGCGAGCAGGGGAGGAAGGGGTGAGCAGGGGAGGAGCAGGAGCAGGGGTGAGGGGCCATCATCGGGTCTTAGTTGTGTTTCGGCATCATCTGCTTCCCAGTGTTGGCACGGGCTAAGTGTTTGATGGTTCATTCATCCAGTAGAGTGAGCAGAGCATAAGGTCCTGGAACCAGAGCTGTGCCTCTACCCTTGGAGTTGAGGAGTCCAGGCACTGCTGAGCCCGGCCATGGGAGAGATGGGTGAGGACGTCCCACAGGTGTGAGACCAAGGGGGCGGGAGCCTTTGTCCTGCCAGGAATAAATGGAATCAGGTGGGAGGCAAGCCAGGCCCTCTTCCTGGGAGGTGCCAGAGCCAAAGAGGAGAGGAGGAGGAAGGAGGAAGAGCGTCGGAGCGGCGGAGCGGCGGAGCGCTGGTGGGACTGCCACCCAGGTTCAGGGACAGGAGCCTCCAAGTGCTGCCAGGCAGGTGGGAGGTCCCTGGGGCATGGCCGGGAGCTCAGGGGAACTTGGGTTTTCTTCTCGTAGCCCTGGGAACCCGGAGGAATGCGGTCATATTTGTGCTTTAGAAGAGAACATTGAAACTGATATGGAAAACATCTCGGACGTAGTATCAAAGTGTAGAAAGAAATAATCAGTGTGAAACTTCACACAGCCCGGCAGCAAGGCCCCGGTCCCACACCCAGCTCCCCAAGGGGCTGGGCCTCATGTGGCCGTTACTTCATTTGTGTTTTTTTCTAAACAAGGAGAATATATTCATAAATTATTTGCATAAAAGCAAACAAAAGAGAAAGAACTGTTGGAATCCTTCTGGCCACAGTGTGGCTCATGTCAGAGGGAGTCAGGGATTCAGGGGCAGTGTTGGGAGCAGCTGTCAGTTGTATAGGCAGGAGCCAGCAAGGGTATCAGTAGCATTCAGCACCAGCGACAGAGAAGAAAGTCGTGCTGTTCGGCAAGAGAGACAGGGTACAGTGTGGGGAGGAAATGTTCAGGGTGAGATGACCTGCATTTTGAAATGCTGAGTTTCATGTTCTTGAGAGATGGCCACTAGTTAATCAGCAGGTCATTAGAATTCTTCGTGTTATAAACTAGGTTTGAATATAAAGTAAATAAGACTATGTCATATATATATGCATACGTACATGTACATATTAGATACATAGTAAACATGCATTTACCTCTAAAATATGTATCCCCAAGCTTTTTCAGCTAAATAGATATTCTCATTCAGAATTGTGAACTTTCAGAGGTCATGGTGGCTCCAGCATCGCCAACCTGGCCCAGCGTAATTGAAGGTTTTTTTAAGCGTGTCCTGAGCCGGTCGCTGTCCAAGTGCACGTAACCTGCCTCTGTGTCCCAGATGCCCCTGCAGGACCAGAGTCCTGTCATTTGTGGTTTATTGACTGGAAGCATCGCTTGCTTCATGGCCCACGAACTGCAGCATCTTTAGTCCTGACAGCTGTTTCTGAAATTTAGCTTTGCGGAGGAGGAAGCTTGGTGCTCTCAGGTGTGTTTGGGAGCGAAGGCACTGAAGGCTCAGGTGCTCCTCCTCCTTAAGCAGCCGTGCTGCATGGCTGTGGGGGCAGCCCTAGTGCCTTTTCACTCCTCTCCCGATGGGCCTGAGCTCGTTAGCCACGACAGCAAGACAGACCCTCCAGGTCCAGAGGTGGTTCCAAGACACTAGTGACTTCAGCTCCCCCAAATCCGTCTGCAGTGGAGAGCGAGATGGAGGCTAACAGACTTACATGATGATATATTGTAAACAGACACATATTGTGATACATTGTAAACAGACTTATACATTGTATGACACTGTTCTTCTAAAGGGGGGCCTCCCTTTATCTTCATGAGGTATGATTATTTGTAATACACTGGCTTATTTTAACTTTACTGATCATAACATTGCATGACTTGTTTTCTGTTGAAGCCCATTGCCTGTTGTTTTTTACGTTGGTAGTTGGTGATGCGATAATCCATTTTCATCTCAAATCACACACACACAGAATTTGGCTAGCTGCAAATAAACACCTATTCTGTAGTTTGTTTTGCAGTTGGATGGAGTGGCCTACAAATTCGTATCAAGTCCAGAGAGTGATGTTTTGAACTGAAAGTACTCTGGGCTCTTAGATTCAGCCTGGGCACAGGGGCACCTTGCATTATGTTGGCTGTTTCTTTTAGTCCTTCCCCTAATCCCAGAGGAGTGTGTGTACCCATTTCTCATATTAGGAGATGAGGCATTGAGAGGTTACGAAACATAGGCATGGTCATGGGTAATTAGCGGCAGAGCCAGAATTGCCCCAGGCTCTTCAGTGACTATTGCTCCTGTTTTCACTGCAGGTATGAACGCTGCCGTCCGTGCTGTGGTGCGCATGGGCATCTACGTGGGGGCCAAGGTGTACTTCATCTATGAGGTCAGTGTCTACCCCACGCCCCCTGTCACTCTTCCTTCCACCTGCCCGGAGCCCTGCAGGCACCAGCGCTCACCCACCCCTGCCTCCCCCTGCGGCAGGCAGGGGAACCAGGTCCTGCCAGCCAGGGCCCTTCCTCAGCCCGCAGGAGCCCCTGGTGGGGACCATTTACATAGGAGGCCATGCCCCCTGGTCTCCAGGGACAGATGCCTGGTCTGCAAGTTTTTTGTTAGGCAGCAAGGGGAGAAAGGAGATGAGAGGGAGCCCAAAAAGCCATTTATTTATTTAGACAGTGTCTTGCTCTGTTGTCCAAGCTGGAGGACGGAGGCATGATCTTGGCTTACTGCAACCTCCTGGGTGCAAGCAGTTTTCTGCCTCAGCCTCATGAGTAGCTGGAATTACAGGTGCCTGCCACCACGCCCAGCTAATTTTTTTGTATTTTTAATAGAGAAGGGGTCTTACCGTGTTGGCCAGGCTGGTCTCAGACTCCTGTCCTCAAGCTGTCCACCCGCCTTGGCCTCCCGAAGTTTTGGTATTACAGACGTGAGCCATTGTGCCCGGCCCCAAAAGGCCATTTTGATATCAACTTCCTGGTGTTGATTGATAGTATTAGAGGTCAGCCAGTGATCTCTGCTTGGCTGTACTGGTTGATCGATTGTATTTGTCTGAGGCTCTGACTGCTGTAGAGGTGATTTATTAATTTCCAATGTAGCCTGAATTTGAACACGCATTTAGGGAAATGGGGAAAAACAGCGACTTTGAGCTTTTCATCATTTGTATAAAATAGAAACGATGCCTGGTGTCTGCTGATGTCTTAAGTAACAGGAGGGACTCCCTGGCTGCCGCTTTTGAGGTCCTGGCAACTTAAGACTAAAAAGTATTTGAAGGGAAGGCACGAATATAGTTTGGATCACAGTACTGATTTCAGAAATTATTAGGAAAAATATTTAATGTTTAAGTTTATAAAACCTAGCTTTAAAAATGAGAAGAAGACATTTTTGTAAATCACTTAATGCCTCCAAAATGGCTATTAGTGTTTTAGTCTGATTTCCCTCAGTATGACGTATGCAAAAGACCGGAAGGAAATAAACACATACTAGGAAAAGTATAGCAAACACGTTCTGTATACTGTTTTTTGTTTACGACTATATCGTGGCTTTTCGCTATGTAGATTCCATGACTGTTGCTTTAACTTATTTTTTATTTTACTGAGAGAAATCTCATTCTTGTCCCCCAGGCTTGAGTTCAATGGCTTGGTCTCGGCTCACTGCAACCTTCGCCTCCCAGGTTCAAATTATTCTCCTGCCTCAGCCTCCTAAGTAGCTGGGATTAAGGTGCCTGCCACCATGCCCAGCTAATTTTTGTATTTTTTAGTAGAGACAGGGTTTCACCATGTTGGACAGGCTGGTCTCAAACTCCTGACCTCAGGTGATCTGCCCGCCTTGGCCTCCCAAAGTGCTGGGATTACAGGTGCGACCCACTGCGCATGGCCGACTGTTGCTTTAAATGTCAACATACTGTCCCATTGAATTGATGTCTCATCATTTGTGATGGACCCTGTATTCTACCATTCCCTTGGTATCGCATTATTTAGCTTTCTCCCCGTTTTTTAAGCTATCATAACAATGCAAGATCTATGTTAATAGAGCGATTTGATGTTTTGTTATTATTTAACACTTTGGTCCTAATATCGGGCACTGACTGAGCTGAAAGGGGCAGTCATCATGATGGCTTGGGATGCTTCTTGCCTAAGTGATTCCTGAAACCCGTCCAGCCTCGTCCCAGCCCTGCGCAGGGAGCGCGGCACACTAGCTCCCCGTGACGACGCTGTGTGCAGCTGGGTGTGGCTGCCTTCTGGGCACTGGCACGATTCCCCTGTCTGCTTTCTAAGCCCTGTTTCCCTTTGGTGAAATGGCTGCTGCTGTTATTCTTTGCTCATTTGTGTGTGTATCCATTTGTTTATCATTTGCTGGAAACAGTTTTTTATTTTTTTATTTTTTTTGGTTTGCTTTTATTAAACTGGTTATGTGGTTATTGTTTGTATTTATCCGATTTTGGCAATTTTAATGGTGGGTCTAACCGTAGCATTCCCAGGCTGTTGTTTTTTTTATTTCATATTTGGTCCTTTTTAAGGTCAGATTGCCCTCGTGAGTTTCCCTGCCTGGGCCCTGGCCCCAGTGGCACCTGTCCTTTGCTCAGGGACGTGGAATGAGACGGTAAGACTGCCCGTCTCAGCACTAGTTCCCTCCACCCCGGTCCCAGCACAGTCCCTCCACCCCCCTCCCCGGACAGTCGTTCCACCCCCCTCCCCTGACAGTGCTTCCGCAGTCGGGCCCTCCCCGGACACAGTCCTTCCACTCCCCCTCCCGGCCCAGATCTTCCACTCCCCCTCCCGGCACAGTCCTCCACCCGGATCCTCAGCACAGTCCACCCCCCTCCCGGCACAAGTCTCCACCCCCTCCCCCGGCACACGTCTCCACCCCTCCCACCAGTCCATCCACCCTCGCCGCACAGTCCTCCACCCCCTCCGCACAGTGCCTCCACCCCCCTCCAGCACCAGTCCTCCACCCGAGTCCCCAGCACAGTGTTCCACCCAGATCCCCAGCACAGTCTTCCTACCCTGGTCCCCAGCCACAGTGTTCCATCCAGTCTCCCAGTACATCCTCCACCCCTTCCCCAGCACAGTTGTTCCATTCCAGTCCCAGCACAGTCTTCCACCCAGTCTCCAGCACAGTCCTCCACCCGGTCCCCAGCACAGTCTTCCACCCAGTCTCCAGCACAGTCCTCCACCCAGTCCCCAGCACAGTCTTCCACCCAGTCTCCAGCACAGTCCTCCACCCCCTCCCCAGCACAGTCCTCCACCCAGTCCCCAGCACTGAAATTTGCACACAGACTTCCAGAAGAGGCCGTCACCTGCACCTGACACCAGCCAGCTTGGTTTCTGCTGCTGCTGCAGCATATACATGTGCATACATTGAATACCCTGAATTTGTTTCCCTTGCCTTTTGTCTTTTTTTTGGGGTGGGAGAGAGGGTGGGTATGATCTGCCTTGGACTTTGGGAGACGGTACCACACCCGTCCTGAGAGCCGCTCTTAGTACAGAAATGTGGTTTTAAAAACTGTTTGGGGATGGAGTATCCCGAGATGAGTTTTTTCTATTATAATTTGCAAAATGTTTTTAAATTCATGAGACTTGTAGTTCCCAGAATGTTTCCCAGGACACCTTGTGATTTTCGCGGCTGGTCCTGTTCCCGCGGCCCTGACGCTGTTGTGTGTTGAGTGGAAGGAAGTCCCCTCACAGAAGTGGCGGCCCGAACACTCACAGGGACTCTGGGTGCAGAGGAAAGGAAGGAAGTGACCTCTGTTATTTCACAGATAAACCGACTCATCTTGGTTCACTTTCTCCATGTCACCACTCAGCATTTTCAGGGCCAGGAACAGCGTTAGACCCCCGACCCCTGGCCTCCAGCCAGATGTGGGGAGTGATTTACCCCCTCAGGACACTCACCCATGTGTGATTTACCCCTCAGGACACTCACTGCTGTGTGATTTACCCCTCAGGACACTCTCCGGTGTGTGATTTACCCCTCAGGACACTCACCGGTGTGTGATTTACCCCTCAGGACACTCACCGGTGTGTGATTTACCCCTCAGGACATTCACCGGTGTGTGATTTACCCCTCAGGACATTCTCCCGTGTGTGATTTACCCCTCAGGACACTCTCCGGTGTGTGATTTACCCCTCAGGACACTCTCCGGTGTGTGATTTACCCCTCAGGACACTCACCGGTGTGTGATTTACCCCTCAGGACATTCTCCCATGTGTGATTTACCCCTCAGGACACTCACCAGTGTGTGATTTACCCCTCAGGACGTGTGTGATTTACCCCTCAGGACACTCACCGGTGTGTGATTTACCCCTCAGGACATTCTCCCGTGTGTGATTTACCCCTCAGGACATTCTCCAGTGTTTGGAGCGTTTTTGGATTGTCCCATTATTGAAAGGATTGTCCCTGGAATGTACTGGGGAGAGGCCAGTGATGCTGCCACACCATCTAGGATGGACGGGATCACACCCCACAAAGAACGGTCCGGACCCAAACGTTGGCAGAAGCAAGGCTGAGGGACTCTGCACTAAACCAAGGGCACGCTGGGTTTGGTTTCAATGTTGTTAGTTGAGGATGGGTGCGGGGAGTGAGGCCGAGGGGACTGTGAGCGCCTAATCTTGGATGCAGTCACTGGTGCACTTTAGTCTTTCTTGATGTAAGGTTTGTGTTTTTGTGGCAGTTGTCAGGTGTCTGATTTTTATTGGTCACCGTGTGCTGTAGTCACCCATCTGTTTCCTGGTGGGATTGAGATGTCCTCAGACCTGTGCCTGTCTGTGTGGCAGGTGCCAGAATTAAGGAGTTGGTATGGAACACACTGGGAGGCCCTGGGCTTTCTCTGCTTTTTGTTTCATTCTTTTTGAGACAGAGTCTTGCCCTGTGTCACCAGGCTGGAGTGCAGTGGTATGATCTCGGCTCGCTGCAACCTCCACCTCCCAGGTTCAAGTGATTCTCCTGCCTCAGTCTCCTGAGTAGCTGGGATTACAGGCATCCGCCACCACGCCTGGCTAATTTTTGTATTTTTGGTAGAGACAGGGTTTCATTCTGTTGGCCAGGCTAGTCTTGAACAGCTGACCCCAAGTGATGCACCTGCCTTGGCCTCCCAAAGTGCTGGGATTAGAGGTGTGGGCCACCTCACCCGGCTCGTAGGCCCTGGGCTTTCTTTGGAGGTCAACCCCATCTGTTCTCTCTGTCTCAGCGGGGAGGGCTGGGGCTCTAAGGCCCATCCATGTGACTCCATGGCCGCAGGTGCTGTCTGGACGAGGTCTGGACAACCTCGTCCGGCGGGGATCGTGCCTCTTCCTGCCCCTGCCCTCGGTGGCGAAGGCGGGGTTCTGACTCTGAGATCTCATTTCCTTTAGAGAAATTCAAGGAATTTCTGCAATTCCTTTGCTGAGA